GGTATCACCCAAGTGCTACAATCTCTCTGAAATAACAAGACCCACACTAGCTGCAAAGCCAGCCAACAGTGTATTTCTGTGGATCATCAAAGCTTTTAACTTAAATAAATCCATGAAATATATGTACTGAGGTTTTGTCTTACTATTGTATGAATTCATTTCAGCTATTCTACTTTATTTAAGCTATTTTGTGGAATTTATTTGGCTGCTTTGATAGAATAATTTCTTGGCTGTTGATTTGATATATTTTAGCCTTTAAAATCGAGCATCCACTACAGTATGGCTCTTTTTGCAGAAGTAAAAGTGGTTCCTTGAATGAGACACCTTTAATAAGATATCTACAAAATAAGACCAGGAATACATCTGTGGGGGCAGGCTTTTACGACACTAAATATTTATATTATTTGCATTTGGGAATAATGAGGAAACCCCTGCATGCACATATGAATTTAATCTTCATGTGAAAACAAATGCTAATATGTGGCGGATAAACATAAGCTCTTTCACATGGATGTATCCCAGAGGGAATCTTTGCACCACATCTAATACACCAAAACATCTGTGTGCTACAGCAGGACTTTACTAGTGGTTCCACTGTTAAATTTCTGCTACTGTGACAAATATCATGTACTATCTTGCTCCCTCCCTCTCGCTCTCTTCTTGTCATGCTCCCTCGTCGCTTCTCATTCCCTCTGTGTCCAAATTAAACACAAGGCGCAGGACACTCTGATAAGGCCATCTGTTCGTATCTCCCTCTCTCAATCCCTCTGCACTTTTTCTTCTTACTCCGTCTGATAGTCTATCGCCCCTTGCTGAAACTATAGAGCACACCTCTATGCATTTCTCTTCTTCTTTTCATTTCTCTACTGGCTGATCAGAGCATTAAATCCCATCGGTGAGTGGCAGGCAGGAGCAGTAACACTCTGTAGCGTTGGACTTGTCATCGAACGTTTAATTGCTAGGCCGTGGGTGTAAAAGCAACACATCAGAGTGTGTGATGCTACAGCTCAATTAAAGTTGTATGAGGTGCCTGACATTCCTCCACCGCCTGCAGTTTAGAGTGATCCCGAGATTCACACGCATACACACATACACACAGACCTCAGCCCTTGTGCCTCACAGGGAGCTCAGAATCTGACTATGAAAATGAGTTTGTGATAAACTCATCACAAAGCTTAACAAATAGAGCCGGCAAAGAAGAAGAGTAGGGAGGGGGGGGGGGGGGGGGGGGGGTGAAACGGTCAAAGGGGTCAACTAATCAAGAGGAGGGGAAATGAGACGAGGGGTAGAGGAACTGCGAGGGGGAGGGTGGAGGAGGGAGATGGCGCGCGCGTGAGAGAAGGAGGACTTAGAGGGGTTACCATTAATGACTGTGAAATGAGAATCCGAGGAGGAAGCGCTAGTGTGCAGTGAGAGAAAAAAATGAGTAAAAGACAGCAGGGAGGGAAAAGGAGGGATGAGAGAGGAATACCATGAAATGAAAGGGTTCAGGCTAGTGTAATATTCTACTGCTGTAGAGAAACTGGAAGACGTCAGGAGGAGGAGTTGAACACAGGACAGAGGGGATTTGAGAGTGTGGGGGGGGGTGCGGAGATGAAATTGAATGAGAGAGAAAGCATATGGCAGGTCTGGGGAAATAAAAGGAAGAATACGGAAGAGATGAAAAAGCATTTCTTAAGGAGAGAAAAGAATGGGACAAAGGGAGGATGTGTGAAAGAGAGTGAAAAATCTTCTTAAGTCATTTCTAAATCCCGTCAAAGAAGTCAATATAGGCAAGGGAACGGAGACGAGGGAGAAGGGAGACATGCGCAACGCAGTCTCACGGCAGTTCCCGAAACAGTCACAAGCTCTAATCTATTAACTTGCGTTTCTGTAAACGAATTTTCCAGCTTTTCTGTGGTCCTGTACTCAGATTTCCTGTCCTTACATTTTTGTTCCGCTAGTCTCGGACGTACTGATTTATGTTTGGGTACAAAAAGTTCATATTTTCCACTTTTAAAAGAAAAAACAAAATTTCACCGGTCACACCAGAAACTTTGTTTCGAATCTTGCATGTGACAGATTTTTAATCATTTGTCTTATTTTTTAAGATGTTATCTATTTAAAATACAATAGCTTTTGGTATTAAAAACAGCCTGGTTAGGTTTAGCGATTTAAACTGTGATGTGCCAGCCAGAGATTTTCAGAGTTTCTGAGATAATGGGAGAAATAATCGCCGGAAGGTCAAAGTGGCCAGATCCCAAATTGTCACTTTCAAGGAGTTCTTTAATGTTTTTAGTAACCAAACGCCACTTACAAAGAAATGCACAACTAGCGAATTGGATATTTAAACTACTGGGATAGGTTTGGAAAAATGGAAAATTTTCTTGGATTTCACACAAAGCATATACTTAGCACCGAAATACAATAGTTTCAAAGTCGTGCTGACAACAATATTTGTGTCCATGATCAGGAACAAACAGATTTTTCACAGTTTGGCACGAGACCGGGTTGACACACAGGTTTCAGTGGTTAGTGAAATGTGATAGCAGAGCTAAACCTTAGCTGCTCTATACAAAGTTACCAAAGCCAAGCATCAAAGTATAGAATTAAATGGAGACATTTAATTTAATTTAGTTAATTGCTTTAAAATGTTATCATTCGTTAGCTGTAGTCACCAAACCAGTGTCATGGCTCTGGATATTTGTTAAATATGACTGAGCTGTGCTTCTTGTTTTGATTTCATTACTGTATTAGTATTGGAGACAATTTTGATTCATTTATTTTAACTGGGCTTTGGTTCCTCTTTTGAGATTAATACATGTCTGTTTGTGTGTTTTTAGTTTAGGTAGTGTTTCTTCATTATCTCTCTCTCTATGTCTTGATGACTTTTTCCTCCTGTGCTTTCCTGTCTCTGTCTTTTTGTTTAGTGCCCTTTCATACTCAGTCCTATTTGTCTTTTGTTTATTGTTTTACTCTGAATGCTAATTTTGTGTCTTGTACTAGTTTTACTTTCTGGTCTTTTCCCCCCTAGATCGCCTGCCCCACCCTAACCGTCCTCACCCATCGTTGACCGTTTTCATCTGTGTATATTTGTGTAGTCCTGTCTTCCCCTTCTTGTTTCCATATTCTCTTGATTGATTCCCAGGCTCTTTGAGTTTATTTTTTTGAATTTGTGTGTCACTTCCCTTTTAGGGCTTTTTATGTCAACCAAACTAAAGACTCGACTTTTGTTACTTCCCTCTACTTCAGTGGCTGCACTTTGGTCCTCATTCCAACCCCAAACGACATCCAGAGTGATTAATGAGGCTGCTGATGGAAATATTTGTGAGTGCTTCAACTAAAGGGAAGTGTTGATGACAAACTGTGTCAGCCCCTCATTTACTGCTATTCATGAACCAATTCACTGAGCTCAGACATGCTAAAATTCTTGCAAGTGCTTCATTATGAACACTTCTGGCTCAAATTAGACAGAATAAGTGATCCAACCGGAAACTAAGACACACCAAATGCAGAAAAAGTTATGCTTTTCATGAAGAGTCCAGGCCTATATCAGCCCACGAATGCCACACCCTTGTTTCAGCACCAGCCTTCCTCAGGGGAGTGGTGCTTCTGATTGTTACATGCTGACTCTTTAGTAAATCTTTGCAGCTAATGAGTATCCGCCCTGCAAATGTTTCCTCTGTGTGTCCAGAATATCTATCACAATTTATCTGGAAATTTGCAGCAATTATGTTCTTGTAAGTCAGCCGTATAGATGATTTCCCTTTTGCGCTTAGAGACATCACAGAGGAATGTAGAGAAACTAAGAATGAGTTAAAGGACAAAGGGCAGTGCACACAAGAAAAGGGAGACACAGCAGACAGCAGAAAGGTGATTATGAAAAAAGGTCAGGCTTCTTAGCAGTCTCTAATTGGATTACTGTCACTATAGTGTGTTTGTATAGGTGACTGCGAATGTGTGACTGCATAGAGGTTCAAAAAAAGCATGCATGACTGCAATATGTATGCAGAGGTTTCATGCTTGTGTGTGTCACAACACTTCCCTTCCCCCAACGCCTTTTCCTCACGCTCTTTTTCCACAGTTTTTTTCACACAGATCTTATCAACACTCTGGCTCAGGAAGAAGGTGCATGAAGTGAAATTCTGATCATTAGCAAGTCAACGAACAGAGAATTCGAGAGAGTGCTAGCGCCTCAGAGATGGTAGAAGCACGCTTACTATTCTGTTCTAAATGGTGGAAATTGGGAGTCGGATAAAACTGGGAAAATGTCATTTCGATTAAACGCTTCGTATTTTAGCCACACAGTGTGCAAAAATACAAAATGCTCCAAAACGCATACTGTAATATCTGTTTTTAACTGCAGTGGAAATCAGGTCAGAGAGGGAAGAAAAAGAGAGAGAGAGAGAGAGAGAGAGAGCGGGAGTGACAGAGAGGTAGAGCCTGCGAGACAGACACCGCTCTCGCAGTTTCCCATCCATAATGAACAACGTCCTACCCCAGCCCCGGTGCAGCGCACAATCCCTCACTGGAGCGACCGGAGGGAGACTGGGATGAGACAAAGGGGAATGGCCACATTAATTACATACACTCTCTAGGCGGGAGCTATCACCGGAGGCTAACGCAGGGGCCGACAGAGAGATGGAGCGACAGAGAAAGATAGAGAAATGGAGATGATAATGCTTACGGAGTACCCTATGTGTCTCCAGCGAGAGGGAGTGTTTGTCCTTAGCAGCAAGACGCCTGCCGGCTGCTGAGTTATGTCAGTGTTACTAATGGGAGCTGAACCTCCAATCACACAGACGCACACTGATGCGAGGCCACTTGTGTGTGTGTGTGTGTGTGTGTGTGTGTGTGTGTGTGTGTGTGTGTGTGTGTGTGTGTAAATTGGATGACAGAGTCTGTATGTTTGCTACAACAGGAATGTACATGGAAGCTTGTGTGTATTGTTACATAAGTGATAAGTGATTTATCCCGGGATGTTTATGTGTGTGTATTTATGTCTGTTGATGTGCACTTACCCCTGGTAGTGTTTTCTGCTCATGAAGAGCGCTCTGGGCTTTCAGCGCAGACTCTCTCGCACAGTACGTCAGAAACGCACATCCTGTCAGACAGAAAGAGGCAGAGAACGAGAAAGAGAGAGGGAGAGAGTAATGGTAGAAAAGGTCAGGGTACGGCTCTAATATTTGTCATCCTCTATCTCTGTCTTTGTCAGCCGGGTCTCAGAGCAAAACGTGAAATAGTCACCAAAAAAAGTAATGTATTTGTTCATGTTCACGGACACAAATTGTCATTGTTTTTCAAGACAGTTGGCACAACTTTGAAGGTAATGTTTTTTTAATAGGAGGTATATTTCATGTCTGCAGCCACGAGTCTGGACCGGGGCTTTGTCACCCTGGCAACCAAGACAACAGGGCGATGTGATGCACTTTAACCCAAACCTTGATCTTTCTCTAAACATAATCAATTCGGCTTTTAAAAACAATTAATAATGTATGACACAAATTAACTGTAAATATCTGTCTCGTTTCTGACTTAAACTGTGATCTCTGGTATAAGCGGGGAAATGATTCCCTCTGCCACAAACCCCTTCAGTCTCCGAATGTGGACAAATCACTACACATGACACCAAACAGATTAAAAACAAAAATGTGTGCAAGACATGAAGAAATGAAACATTGGTGTCCAGGAACATGAATAAATACATTAACGATTATGACTACTTCACCACTGCCTTGAGACTGTATTGTTATATTACACCCCCCCCACACACACAAACATACACACACACACTCTCCGTCATCATTCATTTAAATCTTTTAAATGTTGTCTTTTCTAATACCTTTCCTGATTAGTTGTCATCATATATTCTGGATATACGCGTGAAGATTAAAATATAGATATATAATCATGCATTGTACGGTAACTATGCTCCCTAATGATGTTACTCTAGAGCAGAAGAGGACACTCCACGGCACGGCACATCTCAGTACGGCACGCCACGAGTCAGCACACATGACAGCACCACAGACGTGTGCGTGGGGCTAACAAGGCCTTGCAGGCTTGCCACTGTCAGGTTCTTGCCCTATACCAACCACTATGCATGCCTCACGATCACTCCAGATACACTCCCTCTGTTTTCCTACATGTTGTACCTGTGTCTGTGTGTGTGAGGGAAGGGTGGGTAGTAGAGCTGGCTGCCCAGAGCTGTTTACTACACCTGTCACCAGCACTAAGACAACAAGATTAGCAGCAGGTTAGCATCCCAGTGACATCTCAGACGGGCTCATGTAGATTCAGATTAGAGAAATGAAGTTAACATTCACGGAGTGCGCATCTCGGGATTTAATGGTGCCATGAGATTAAAAACAAAAAGAAAAAAGAAATACAAAGAATGATAAGACACACACCTGACATGGCACTCGGATCAGTACATGGCACACACACACATAGACACACATGCATCTTATGGTCCATCTCATTGCTTTTAAGAGCGGCTTACTGTGGCTGTGGGGAATCTCAAAACAACAGATTCTTTCCCTTGTGTCACCCTGGCTTACAGCCCCATTACACTGATTGGAGCATACAGTCTAATCTGGCTCATAACACAAAGGACCCCAGGTCAGTGTGTGTGTGTGTGCATGTGTGTGCCTGAATGGGTTTTGCTACAGTAGAAAGTTATTTTTCATTCATGGCATCTATCAGGAGATCCTTATTTCCACTCTTTATCATATATTATAAAACTTTTTATCACATTCTTTTTCCGCCTGTGGAGCACAAGCTTTACAAATTGGAGTAAATTTTTAAATACATTAGGCACCCGATTGTTTTATGAAGCATGCTGCTGCAAAACAGCGAGTTCGCTCGCAGTGTACGGGCAGTAACTGAGTTTGCTTGCTCGTCTTCGGGATCTCATGCCTGAACTCAAAATGAAGACACGAAGGCGCTGTGACAGTTTCCATGGATACATGTGACATACACGCAGAAATATTTTTACTCATCTATCTGCCTCTGTGTCGCACATCTATTAAGCACCGGAGGCATCTTTTTAACTCTGGGTTACGAAGGCAGATCCTACCTTTGTGCATGCCAGTGTATTTGTCCTTAATCACAGTTAGCTCATAGATCTTGCCGAACTGTTCAAAGATAGGCTTGAGGTCCTTCTCCTCCAGATTACGGGGAATCTGCCCCACAAACAACTTGATGGCATCAGCCTCCTTCATCGGGACAAAGTGGAGAGGACGACTGGGTACTGCAGGGCTCAGGGGCAAACAGATCGGGAGCAGCTATCCCTGGAGAGGAGCGACTGATGCTGGAGGAGTCTTTGGGACATAGCCAGAAACATGGAGAGGAAAAGAAAACAATTGAAAAATAACTATTATTATCCTTAGAATGTTTATTTATATAATAATAATTCATTTTCACAGATTTATATTACAGTAGGATACTTTCCTTGGTTATTTTACCCTATAAAACATTTATCACATGTGTTATAGTATTAGCCAGATTGCATTTGTAATTTTGTAAAAAGATGATAAATTCCAGATCAAATGTCTTCATGAATATATTTAATAATAAAATACATGCATCCATTACGTTAAAGAAAAAGAAACTATAGATTATTTGTGTATTTAGTGCCCACGCTGATGACAAAGGGCCCCAGTTGCTTCCGGTAAAACAATTATGCAAATGTTAATTAGTCAATCAAAAAACAATAATAGCACTTTTTGCTCCAATTAAAAATATATGAAAAGAAAATATGTATGCAGATGCGTTACCTTTCCGTGGATAAACGGCGTTCAGGATCCGCTACACATAAAAAAAGAAGAGGAAACAGTGTGACTGGGGATAAAACATTGCAATAGAGCGGTTTCTTTGTTTAGCCAGCTGTAGGTTACAGCATACACACGGATGTCATGGGGCTCCCTTGCTCTTTGTCCTATCACCCCCCCCCCCCCTCCTCCTCCTCAATGTACACACACACACACGCACACACATATATATAAATATATTTATATATATAATACTCTCGTCATAACAAAACAAGACATGGGAATATACAGGCTGCACACATCAAAGCTCTTACCGTTTGTACTGTACGGCCGTGCAGAGTGTTTCCTGAGCAGATCAGAAATTAAAGAGGGATGCTCAGTCGGGTTGTTGTCCTCACACCGCGCTCTATCTCTCCGTGCGGTCCGCCTTCTTCCCCTCTCTGGATGCTCCCCGCTCTTTGTGCCTGCCGTGCTGTGTGTGTGTGTGTTTGTGTTTATCCTCCTCTCTCCTCGGTGTGTAATACTATAGATTCGCCTTGTGTTTTTACAAAAAAAAAAAAACAAAATAAAAAAAATCCACAAAAAATCCCGGTGTTCCCGGTCTTCGGGTGTGGAAGTGACGGAGAAGAAGTCCTGGCGGCAGGTGAGCTCGAACACCACCGCTTTCTGCACTTAGTCCCAACCTCTCAGGGTTTACAAATCCAGAGTTATCACTTTCACCACTCTCAAGTCCTGTTATATTATAACAAAGTGATAATGGACAAAGCAGCTTCTAGAATTTGGCTAGCTTAAAACTGTTGAAACTTGATCGGTCACTCGTAAAGGGAGCTTTCAGCCTTGTCGTTATTGTTCTAACCGTTAATGGGGAGCTGCTCTTACTATTTTCTGTTTCTTGTAGCGACCGGCCCGTCCGACGGTTCTATGGCTTTTAACGTCCTAAAGCTACCGGTGTCTCTCTACTCTCTGTCTCCCCCTCCCCCTCCTATCTCCAAAGCGGTTGCTAGCGCGTGACGTCAGCCGCGGGGACCGTCAATAACAGTCCTCTCGTACACACAAAATATAAAAATATAAATCCAGATTAAACGTCTCGGTAATCTTTTCAAGCTTTACTCAATAACTTGTGGATGTGTGTTCAGTATTTAAAACAAAAATATTTTTTTTAATCATTTTTAGCGCCGTGTTATCTTAGCGGCTAGTTCCAGGTCACCGCTTTAAAGACGATGCCTAGCCAACTCTGTGCGCGGAGCCGCCTATTGTTCTCGCCGCGAGCCCTGGCCTTGGTGCTGAAACGATGCTTCTTGACGTGAAGCCGAAGCGCGCCGCCGTCGTCGAGCACGCAGTCACGACTACTACAGCTGTTCACGCCCGAGCCCGAAATTCACGCTCACACCCACACAGAGTGAAATGTGTGACAGAGGGAAGAGAAATAGCTCGAGGTTGGAGTTGGCCTACTTTACAGCCTGTATTTTGGAAAACCGGCAGACACTGGGCTATTTAACTGTGATATCCCCCAAAACCCCAAACTTCCAGAGTTATCGATAACAGCACGCTCCTTTTTCACATCTTTGAATTGAAAGCCAGTGTGCATGCCCGGACCCTTTAAAGGAGAGAGAGATTGATGGAACAGAGTCATAAGGTTCATGGTAATTTACTCCCAAAGGTCACCATCTGCCTGTCTTGCATCGTGCCCTCTGTGAGCCACATTCATCCAACATATATACCCCGCCCACGCAGGCTTGCATGAAAACCCCGGTGTAAAGGGCTGTAGCCCTCTGGAACTCATAGGTCTTCCTTGCAAAAAGAAAAAGAATGAGAAGAAGAGAGTACATCCTGACTTTGCCTCTGTTCCTTCATAGTTGAGCTAAAGCATTATGAATGCTCTACCTTGCACTTGTTTGAAAACTGCTCCAAACTGTTCCAGTACCACTGGATTGGAAAATCTTGTTGGAGGACATAGAGAACACTTCCCCCCTAAGTTAGTGGGAACTGGGGGCATGGTCAATCTGAGGGAGTTTACATTCCACAATTTAAAACATACAATCACCAGCCAGTTTGTTAGGTGCGCCCGTTCCACTGTTGGTTAACACAAATATTTAATCAGCATCTACATGGCAGTGACTAAATACCTTTTTTGGCATGTAGTGAACATTTTAGTTAGTCAAATTGAAATGGCTACTACAGAAGAGCACAGTGGATGCTCTTGTCAGTGAAGAACAGGAAACTGAGGCTACAATTCACACGGAAAACTTGACAAGAGGAGACTAGGAAAATGTTGCCTTCTCTGATCAGTCTTGGTTTCTGTTGTGACATTTGGATGACAAGGTGAGAATTTGACATAAACAACATAAAAGCATTGATTCATCATGCCAGTTCAGACTACTGGTGGTGGTGTAATGGCATGGAGAATATTTTCATGGCACATTTTAGGTACTTTGGTACCAACTGAGCATCGTTTAAATGCCACAGCCTGCCTGCTGTTGTGTCCGTCCCGTAATTACCACAATGTAGCCACATTCTGATTTATGCTTCCACCAAGAAAACACGCCATGTCACAAAACTCAGATCATCTCAAACCGGTTTTTTGAACATGACAGTTAGTTTCACTAAAATTTCCTCCACAGTCACCAATCTCAATCCAATAGAGTATCTTTAAGATGAGGTAGAATGGGAGATTCACATTATGGATGTGCGGCCAACAAATCTGCAGCGTGTATGATGCGACCATGTAAATATGGACCAAATTGTTTCCACTGCCTGGTTGAATCTATGTATTGAAGAACTGAGGCAGTGCTGAAGCCAAAATGGGGTCCGAGCCCATTATATCGTCCATGGGAGGTAAAAGTATACATTTACATCGCAAATTTCTATGTGAAATTATCACTTCTCCACCAAAAAGTTCTGAAATTATTAGAAGTTACTCGGGCTGACATTTCGAGAATTGCTGATACGGAATCAGGAAACTACACCGGCTTAAGCGATATTTAAGTTTAATGAAGGTCCTATAGATTTTAGCATCCACTCTCTTCTTTCCTGGTTTGATTTTGCCTTATTGATAGTCCTACTCACTACACAAGCTCGTCCACTCCTAGATTTTCATCTCAGACAGCAGCTGACCTTGGCAGGGTTTCCTTAAAGACTGAGGATTGTGCACTACACTTCCTATCTGAAACATCACATTACACACGGACACACTCACTCAAGATTTTATAAAGAGTATAATAAATAAATATGTAAATAATAATCTTTGTGTGTTTCCAGGATTTTTCTGCCTTGTAATACTAATTGTACTACAGCACATATATAATTAGAGTGTCATTTGTGTTATGTTGGTCAGATGTTTATTATTATTGTTGTCATTACACAAGAATTAGAATTTAAGACTCATCTAGGGTGAAAAGTGAAATAAAACACTCGTGTTCATTCAATATTTCGACCACAGCATACATTTTTATAAAAAAAACCTCTTTATTTCTTTATCCATAGATGACTCACTGTGGAAGACAGCTAGGCCTGACTAAGTTGTGTAAGAGACTCAATAGCGCCACTGTTTGGACAAAAGTGGCAAATTCACCCTTGTTTAGTGGACCAAAAAGAAACACACACGCCTTGATTTCTCTGTAATTTCCGTTTTATTTAAAATGAAGCTTCAAGATAATAACTCCTCCACGCTGTTTCCTGTTTTTGCATCATAAAATTGTCTGTATACTGAAAATAACAATCTGATAATCTCTTGTGGTAACAAAAAAATTGCTACAGCTCCTCAAAACAGCAAATAAATTACATGTTCTTTAGATAATAGATAAATTACCATCCTTTTTATGTTTATATATAAAATCTAATTTCTACTACAAGGGATAAGAGACAAGAATGACACATCCAAAACCACATATGCAAAACTCTCACACACACACACACACACACACACACACACACACACACACACACACACACACACAC